ACATTTTATAATTTGTCCCTGAAAAATGGGGAGACTCAAAACTAGCCAATTTAATTAATTACTTATTTATTTAGAGGTGAGGCCATACTTTGTCACCCAGGCTGGAGTGCAGTGGTGTGATCATAACTCATTGCAGCCTCAAACTCCTGGGCTCAAGTGATGCTCTTGTCTTAAATGACCCTCTTGCCTTAGCACCCCCAGTAGCTGAAACTACAGGCATGTACCACCATGCCTGACTAATTAAAAAAATATACATATTTTAAAATAGAAACAGGGTCTTACTACATTGCTCAGATTGGTCTCATACTCCTGGCCTCAAGCAATCCTCCCACCTTGGCCTCCCAAAGTGCTGGGATTATAGGCGTGAGCCACTATGCCCAGCCAAAACTAGACATTTTAAAGCCCAAGACAGAATTCCTAAAAATGACCCCAGCCATACTCCTTCACCTGCCCAAATGTCCATAAACTTTATTAGACATCTTCAGACCTCCAATCCCGCAGCCCAGCCCCCTGCAATTACAATAACTAACAGCAACACTAGTTCATGCTGCAAGAGTGAGGCTCATGATTTGTTCGGGGCTCAGCTAGAATCATAGCCAGCAGATGAGTGGAGCAGGACATAGGAGAAAGGAACAAATGACACAGGACTTGTCTGGGGAATGGGAGAGGCCACATAGTTAATGGCAGTGTTCAAATCCAGATCTCAGTCAAAATAAAAGGCTTTTCCTTCACGCCAGATTTGCCTCCTTGTATCAACTACTATAGAGATACAAAGGTGAATAAGATACCACTCCTGCACTTCAGAAGTTCATAGTTAAGCAACTTTGGATGCTCAGGAAGCGATTACATTAAAATGGACGTCAAAATGCCTTTGTTCACAAAAAACAAATATATTCTGAGATACACAGGGGTTGACGGAAAGGTGCAAAGGCCTTACACATAAATTGGGGACCGTTCTCACCAACTGTCAGAGTCTGGCTCTACTAAGGTTAAAGCAGGAAATCACTACAAAACATAATCACCTGAAAGGACTTTGATCCTAGTACCCTTTTCTTCAAAAACTATCCATGCCTTTTTATTGTTTAAAAGTCTTCAGCCTGGAATTAGTCCTTTCCATCTCTTACGGCATTCAGCACAAGGTCTTACACAGCAAAGGGATTAAAGTTTGCTTAGCTTGGCAAAAGCCACAAAAGGTACACCTTCAAATACCTGCCAATTCCTCTTAATGAGTATGTTTCCCACCTCATATTCCCTTCATCTACCTACAATTTAATTTAATTAAACAGTTCTTAAGTATCTACTGTATATGCTAAGCTTGGAGCTGGAGCTCTGAAAATGAATAGACTCTGTGATATAGGACAGGACATCCTTCAACTTCCTGCTCACAACTACAAACTTAATTTTATTGGCAACGTTATCTTCTGCTTTCCGGGCCCCCAATGAAGGTAGTAGCCATTCTACCTAAGGCCAAGCCGGCCCAAGGTTTGAATCCCAATGCTTCCTGCTTCTTCCAAGTCTTCTCTCTCAGATGTTTTTATCCCCTCGTTTTCTATTGGAAAGGACTTTGTGGCATTTCTATGGAGTCTTCCCTTAAATATTTTAAGTCTCTGTATTCCTTTTTATAAAATTATCAAATATCCTGAAGCTCCTGAGTCCGCCTCAGAACTACACTGTCTCTCCTCCCATCTGGAACCAAGTTTCAGGGAAGAGTTATCTGTAAGACCCTTCTGCTTCAGTTTCCTTGCCTTCCATTCACTCCTCATCCTGCCATCTGGACTTGCCCCACTATTCCATAATAAAAGGACCATATTTTGGCCCTTATATTAATAACTCTTCATAGCATTTGACCCTTTGCTTCCAGGATACCACATTCTCTAGATTTTTTCTCCCCTCCCTGAACAGGCTTTCTCAAGCTCCTTAGTAAACTTTTCTTTCTTGGCTCATCCCTTGGACTTTGCTGCTACTTTGAGCTCTGTCTGCAGCCTTCTCTTCTCATCACATCCTCCCTGGTAAATTTACACCCTCTAAAGGCTTCAATTACCATCTTTGTTCTGATGTCTCCCAAATGTTTACAGCTAGCTCAGTTCTCTCTTTTGAGGGCCAAACTTCTACACCGATCTGCTCATTTAACATCTCTAGGTAGACATTCTATAGACAGACTCCAAATCTATACTTCTCACCTTCCCTCACAAACTATCTCCTTTTCTTAAATTTTCTTTCTTACTGATAGGCACCCTATCCACTCTGCTGTTTAAACCAGAACCTTGAAGTCCATAATAATTCCCTTTTCTTCCTCATTATCACATCTAATGAGTCACCAAGTTTAATTGATTTTAGCTCCTAAATCATTTTCCCCATCTCATTTTCCCCATCTCAGCTTCTCTGCTATCTGGATTGATACAACAGTCCCATAACTGGTTTCTCTGGCTCTGGACTCTGGTCTTCCTCCAATCCATTCTCTATAATTGGAGAGGATTGTCTTTCTAAAGGACAAATCTTTCTCCTGCTGAAATCCTATTAGGGACTCCCTATTCCTCTCACTATAAAGCCTAGCATGGATGCCTGATCTCCATCTAGTTGCATCTCTTGTTAATTCCTTCCCTGAAGTTTGTGCTCCAGCTGTGCTGATCCAGTTATGGTTCCACAAACATACCATACTCTCACCTCCAAACTTTGAAACATTCTGTGCCTTGGTTTAAAATGCATCTACCCTCCAATGCCTTGCCTCCCCACTTGGATTTCCAAGATCCTACTCTTTTTTCAGCTATTAACCTAGAAAGAGAAGTACTTTCCTGCCCACCAGACTGGAGATAGGTCTCCTATGTCCTACTACAAAATCCTCATCATAGTTCTTCCTTGTTACTCTACTGTCATTGCTTGTCTACCTATAGGTTATCCCCAGTAGCTGGTTGACTCCTGGAAGTCAAGGTCCATGTCTTATTCACTGAATCCCAGAACCTGGAATGTGGTAGGTTCTCAATACACAATTTTTTTTTTTTTTTTTTTTTTTTTTGAGATGGAGTCTCGCTCTGTCACCCAGGCTGGAGTGAAATGATGCGATCTTTGCTCACTGCAGCCTCCACCTCCTGGGTTCAAGTGATTCTCATGTCTCAGCCTCCTGAGTAGCTGGGGCTACAGGCACACACCACCATGTGCAACTAATTTTTGTATTTTCAGTAGACACAGGGTTTCACCATGTGGGCCAGGCTGGTCTGGAGCTCCTGACTTCAAGTGATCCGTCTTGGCCTCCCAAAGTGCATGAGCCACCATGCCTGGCCTCAATACACAATTATTTTAAAATAAAAGAATATTTAAATGCAGATTTGTTTAAAATTAAATAAATATATAAATGAACACATATGAAGAATATATAAATGAGTGGAGAAATATAGATATATAGATATCCATAATACTATGATATATATGATCTAAGTTATGATTAATAATAGCAGCAACAATAACAATAATGTAGCTAACTTCTACTGAGTGCCTATTGTGTGTCAGCATCATTATAAATACTTTGTACTTATGAATTCGATTGATCCTCATAATATCTTTAGAAGATAGGGATTAATTCAAGGTACTAGGGGTGTATAGAAGAGGGAAGACTTAATTCTGCTGATATGGAGGGGGTGTCAGTGTAGCTTCAGAGGGAAAGTGGCTTCTGGGTAGGTCGTAGTGAAAGCTTTGGTTTTGGGTGAGATTGGAACCCTAGGGGAGAATATCTGGTGGGGATACTGAGCAGGAGTGGTAAGAGAAGTCAGAAAACCCAGGGGAAGTGACAATAGAAAAACCAGGTAAAGAGAGAGCTTCAAAAAGGAAGAGTGTTAAATGTCCTAGTAATGTCTAGTAGTAAAAGAACATAGGCTCTGGCACCTCAAGTCCTGAGTGCCCTTTTGTAAGAGTAATTTTAGTAGACTCATTCATACTAAAGCAGATTAGGAAAAGAATATAGGCGAAGAAATGTAGAGAATGATACAGAGTCCTCACACAAAAACTGAAGTGAAGGAAAGGAGAGAAAAGGAAAAGGCAGGCAGGGTCACGGGGAGATTTTTTTTTTTTTTCTTTTCTAGATAGGAGTTAACCTGGACATGGTTTGGTCTGGTTTTGGTTTGGTTGTTGATTTTTAACGGAAAGAATGACTCCCACTGAGTAAATATTGAAGATTAAGGGAGATCAGAAGAGGCAGGACAGACTAGGATGATTCTCGGAAAGACAGCAGGTCTTCATCTGATTGGGGAAAGGGACAGGTGAATTACTGACAAGGGGACTCAACTGGAGGAAGTGCTCCCTTGAGCACTTCATCCCTGTAGAATATGGTATCATAGTTAAGATACTAGAACCCTATTCAACCCAGTCTTCTTGATAAAGGAAGAGATGAGGAAAAAAGAAGAGATTTTCTTTAAAAATTATGGCTATTGTATATATCACACTAGATAAATAGGAGACACAAAAGAGTCAGCCATACATAGTTACTTTGAATGAATCTAGGGAGCCAAATGGAAGCAAAAAATCATTCTGCAGAGGCACATCTGTGCTCATTAAACTAGACCATAATCTCCGTGAACCCAGGATATGAGACTGTCTCATCCACTGTTGCATCCACAGTGCCTACCTATTTCAATGCCCAGCCCACACCCGGTACTCAATAACAGTTTTTTAGATGAATGAATAAAAATTCAAACACTTATAAGTTTTATTTAGCTATTTTAATCAAGGTTAAAAACAGAGCCAGCTTCATGGGTATGTGACCTGGGCAGTTTCACAGGGCCCCATGCCCCAAAGGGCCCCTGGCTTGGTTTAATGCTTTGCAGTCACTACTTTGAAGTGTTCAGTAATATGAACAAGGGGCCCCACATATTATGCAGCCAGTACTTGTTAAAAAAGAAAACACATATTTCTACAAATTTTCAAGTAAATGGAAATTTTAGATGCATGTGAATGCCAAATTACCCATAGAAATTTATCTTTAAAATTTAAAAAGTATATTTCAGGCTTACCTGAAATGCTAGATTGTGGTTTTTCTTTCTTAAAATATGGTTCATACTCTCTGTAGACAATTTTCTTAAAGGAAGTTGCAGAAAGATTCAAACTGGAAATATAATACAAAAACTAATTTGAAAGGCATATTCAACATCTATTTCTCACATCACAAAAAAAGTAGATCTCTCATATCTTCAGACTTCTAGTAGAATACCAGTATCTTTATTGCATTTCAGAAGCCCACCATTTTATAAATATGATCAATAAATAAAGTTAATGAAATAATTATTGGTCTCTTCAAAAATATCCTGTTGTGATAACTATTTGTTCACAAGTTAATCTACCCTAATATCGTTCCTCAGAATCAATTTTCTAAAAAGAACCCAATATCACAGTATAAACCCAAACTGTAGGTTTAGATTTTATATTATTAAAATATGACCAAATCCTTTATGAATAAATATATGAGCTGTTTTTCAACTGATCAATCAAAAATAGTTTTAATCTACTGGGGAAATTGTGAAAAAGTATTGATTTCGTGGAATTTATTTCTAGTTGAGAGGTGAGAGATGGCTAACGGGGTAAAAGCCCTGGGATTCATATTGGAAACAAACAAATGAAAAAACTGTTTTGGAAACAGTCAGTAACTTGTCTAAGAGACACAGTTGATAAGTGGCAGAACCAATATTAAAAAATGTGAAACCACCGCATTCATGATTTAAAAAAATATTAGAGAGAGGACAGACAACAGGGAGAGTCATGAGTGGTGAGTTACTTTCCTGTTGTTGCTGTTGTTGTTGTTGTTATTGTTCTGTACCTCTAAAGACACATCATTCTTATCCTTGTCTTAAACTCAAAGATGAGGGTAAAAGGAAAGAGAATTCAGAGAAAATACCTTACAAATGTCTCAATTTGATCAGAGTGGCTTTGTTTTGCTTCCTAATGCGGGGACAGTGACCCAGCCATAATCAAGACATAACAGCACCCACGTATGCCATGCCTTCTATACAGCACGGTGGCTAGGGTGCAGGCTGTGAATTCAGTATCTCTGGACTTGAAGACTACATCTACCTCTTATTGTTTTATCTTGAAAAGTTTACTTAATTCATTTGTGCCTCAGTTTCTACAACTATAAGATGAGATTAATACTGAAATCTCCCTCACAGAATTGTTGTATAATTTTAAATAAGTTGATATGTACAAAAGGCACAGAACTGGCACACTAGAAATACTTAATCCATGTTAGCTAGTAATATTTTGTAAATATAATTAGAGTTAGTCTTTAGCCTTCAGGTTTTCACAGAAAGCAAAAACAAATCTGTAGTAATAGTAATGCTCACAAATTTTAATATGTGGAATACAGGAACTGTGTTAATATGTGGGGGCAGGATTAAAGGAGGCATGTAAGTACTTTTAGAATGGCTAGATAGAGAAGGTAGTGGATTCACTGGCAGTATTCAAGTAGAAATTAGACAACTACTTGGTAAGGTCATTGGTGCTGAGGGCAAGGGAAAAAGTAGAAGGTTAAAACACCTTAATATGTTTGAATATGAATTAAATGACCTCTTAGCGTTCTTATAACTTAAGAATTCTAAGATGCTATATACTAATGTCCCTAATGTGGAAGTCCATTTTTATTTATTTTTTTAGTACAATTGAAAAGTTATTGTCCTCCCCTGCCCCAGATCTTTGATACAGAATGTAGATGATGGTATAAAATCTTTACTAAAAAATATCAGTCTCTTATGTGGAGTAATTTCAACAGAGAGAGGTTTTCTAACAAGTTTTACTATGTATGCTGTGTATTTATACTGAGGTATGTCTATTTTAATCTGAACAATTTCTATTGGAAAATAATCTATCTGATTAAAAAGTTACAGATGATATGAATTCAAACAATGGGTACAATGAGTTTTTCATTTATAAGGATTGTTTAAAGATGATTTGTTCATAGTCACAAAATCATATAAAGCTAGAACCCTAGGAGGAAAATGTATGTGTATCTTTTCTTCAATATCTCTTTGTATTATGTGAGTGACTAAACAAGGTTTCTAAGGAAATTTTTGAAAGTGTTCATCTCTGACTTGGAGCAAGAATAATATGTACATTTTACCTTTACAAGGCATTGTCCTGCTAATATTATATGAAATAAGTAGACGGATTTCTGCTTTGTGCTAAAATACACTTTGCCAAAAGATGGAGTTGTCTACGTTGATATTCATCTAGTGAGCATCATAGCTCTAGGGGCTGGACAAGTTAGAACAAGTTCTTAGTGTAAGCAGCCAGATATATGGATTAGATTTTTCATAAGAAAATGCTAGAGAGAAGTGATATGATTTAGGGTTAAACAATATGACAGTTTGTCTGGGTTATGTTTCTATGGTTTTGACTCAACAATTGCTACCAGAGAAATGACTCTCCAGAACTTTGGAAACTTACCCACAGGGTGAGGGGACAGAATGACCAGTCGTGGTTCCCTGTGTACTCGCCATGTGAATCAGACCTTTGCCCTATGTGATTCTGCCTCCAGCATTTTGCTTGCTATTTTCAATGCTAACTACAGACACGAGAAAAAAACTCCCAAGCGTAAACCCAGCATGCTACAAGAAAGCCAACAACCAAGTTTGCATTCTTCTCATGAGCAGGCAAGATTAGTGTTAGAAGGACTGTTATTTTCCTTGGGGTTTTAGCTTACGGCAGTTCCGAAGGGTGTGGGTGTGACCTAGATTGTTACTTTGAAGTACAATATTTAAAATGATTATTTTTGAAAAGGAGGGATCTCTTCTTATTATAAGACCAAGATCATGTGTAATACCCTGCAAAATAACCCACTTACAATGAGAGTTTTAAAAAGGCTAATATTATACACTAAAAGATCTCAAATATTACATTAGTTTTTGGCAGATTGCTTTGGTTTTGTAATTGTAAAAGAGGAACACATCTTTCATAATAAACTGTGATGTTAGGGAAAAAAGTGAGTCACACTAGCAGGTTGACCATTTAAAAAATAACTAACTGGAAATATTGAATAGACTCTATGATTTAGTTAATTTCTGAGAAGTCTTATTTTTAACATTTCAATTAGAAAAAATAGTTTGCAACTCAAGGGTAGTATTTTATATGAATTAAACCTCCTCTCAGTTACATACCATATCCCAGGACATGATTAACAGAGAGAAAAAAATGAAGAGTCACATTCAGTAGGATAAGTAAGTCATATCCCAGGACATGATTAACAGAGAGAAAAAAATGAAGAGTCACATTCAGAAGGATAAATAAGTCAAATATGAAGCAGAAAAAAGGTGAAAGTACAAAAACATACAAGAACTGATGATATTTTGAAAATCATTTATAAGGCAGCAATAAAATTATATGACAAAAAGCACAAGGTGTTCATTTTTAGTTTTAGAAGATGAAGCTATGTAGACAATGGAACAAATAATACGTAAATAGGAGTCTTATAAAAATACTAAACAACTAAAAATCTGGAACAGGAATTTCCAGAAAGCACTAATGAGGAAGCAATCCCTGGTGCCTTTGAATTCACCAATATATAAGCCAACACAAACATACTAACAAAACTGTATTGAAAATAAACTTGAAAAGAAAGCATCATCTAACCAATCAAATGGAATGCTTTCTATACCCTCAGAATGATAAACTACATTATTGGAGGCAAAATTAGCATTCGCCCAGTTTATTTAATTCAGTGTACTCTCCTATTAGTTATATTTACTTACCTGAAGTTAAAAAAAAAAAAAAAAAGCCATGACATTGCAAAGGAAATGTTGTCTAAAGAAATAGATTTTCCTCTCTAGAGAAGCCCACCCAGATCCACACCTGAGTTACCTTGAGTTTGTGGACTCAGGTCGGTAGCTCCAACTGATGCCCTGAGCAGCCACGTAGAACTGCCTTAGCTGTACCGCTTCTGTCCCTTGTCTCCCCCAGCCTACCCAGCTGGTGCCCAAGACCACCAGGACCCAGAGGCGTGGGCAGCGTGGGAACATGCTTCCTTTCCTGCTCCCGCTGGCTGCCACCACCCCAGGACCTGGGCAGCCGCTCGTCGAGCTGCTGACTAACCCCGCTCCTGGCTGTCCCAGCTGCAATGAGCTCTGAAGGCTGTGGGTGGCAGCGTCCTTCTCCCCTGCGGTTCTTGCAAACTGCAGCGGCAGCCTCTGCCTCTCCCTCCCTCCCCTTTTTCTGGGGCTTTTCCTGGCAGGGGCTTGGTGAGATCACAGCTCCCAGCGACCAGAGGTATTAGGGAGAGCAACCAAACTAGTGACTGTTTTACTACAGGTGAAGAAGGGGCAGAGATCAGAGGCTCTAGCAGGTGGGACAATGCCCAGGGATTCATGAGCCGGACAAAGCTGTATCCCTCCATTTCCACCGGCCAACACCGCGGAAGCAGTCGACCCTTACCACTGACCTGAGGCCTGCCTGGGTCCAAGCTCACACTTGGAGAACTTTCTGTGAAGTGCAGTGGTACCCAACCACCTTAATCAGATGGCTCCCCTTTTGATCTGAGGAAAAGAGTATTGTGCCCTGTTACCCGGCACTGAAACACTATTTTCAAGTGGTGGAGAAGAAGGGAACAAACACATGGACAAGGTCTACTGCTCTGAATCGCCTTCCTGGTCTCTATCAAGGCACAGTTCTGCCTTGATAAGGGCCTGTAGCTAGCTAAGCTGCAGCATAGCAGAGGGCTTAAAGAACTTGGCTGAAAAAAAAATCAGTTGTCCAGTTTTCAGTTTCACTTACTAGCTGTGTTGTCTTGGGCAAGTTACTGTACCTCTCTGTTCAGTTTTGATATCTGTGAAATAAGGATGACAATAATGGTTTTTCCTGATAGGGTATGTTGGGAGGATAAAATGCTACTGTAAACTATAGTTCCAGCACTTAGCACACAGCAGCTAGGCGTAGTGGCTCAAGCCTGTAACCCCAGCACTTTGGGAGGCCAAGGCGAGTGAATCACCTGAGGTCAGGAGTTCAAGACCAGCCTGGTCAACATAGTGAAACCCTGTATCTACTAAAAATACAAAAAATTAGCCGGGAGTTGTGGTGGACACCTGTAATCCCACCTACTCAAGAGACTGAGGCAAGAGAATTGCTTGAACCCGGAAAGTGGAGGTTGCAGTGAGCTGATAACTTGCCATTTTACTCCAGCCTAGGCTACAAGAATAAAACTCCATCAAAAAAAAAAAAAAAAAAAAAAAAAAGAAAGAAGAGAGAGCCAGAGAGAGAGAGAGAGAGAGAGAGAGAGAAAGAAAGAAAGTCAGTCAGTCACAAATTTATTACTATGATTATATTTTCCTGTCTCCAGGACCCCTTGTATTCTTGTATTTCTTGAAGGATCTAGTTGTTTCACACCACCTTAAATCTTACTTTGCTGTTAATAGAGAATCTGAGAATTATATCGTGTGAGACATCATAATGACTTGTCCTGGGTTCCCTGTATCTGCATGGCTCCAAGTTTCTGTCATGCTTTATGCATTCAGTACATTCAATAAATTGTAATCTGGCACCTCACGTGAGGTCTCTGTTAATGATGTCAGGCTCATCAACAGCCTCTTCCCCCCTCCCCACTCCCCCCAGTGTTCTGTCTTTCCTCCTGTGCTGATATTATTCTACCAACTTAAAATGCCCATTTTCTTCCTCTTTGCTGGGTCATTCTTTACAGTGCAGGGTTCTGCCTGTCTCCCAGATTCTGGGCTCCAATGGACTTTTCCATTTTATGAACTATTATAACACTATTCAAATTGTATAATCATGTTAATTACCTTTGGTTATTCCATGTAGGTATCTATTGTCTCCCTGACTGAACAGTTGCTTACACTTCTTTATCTACAATGTTATCAGTATCTCCCAAAGTTGGTAGCCCATCAGAATTCCCAGGGGAACTTTTACAAAATGTAGATTCTGACTCAGGAAATAGGGCTGAGACCAAAGTCCTAGAACATCTAGCCTATTGATTGACGTATAAATAAGCAGTCAGAGATGCTACTGGCAGTGTATCAGAGAAACGTTTTGAAAGCACTGTGTCCCTAAATCCCAAGGTTACTACCAACATTGTTGCAACATTACTGTAACCTTTGAGTAGGCTGCTTTTTTTACTTGGATGTTTGCTTATGTATATACAGTATACATGACATGTTTATTGCATTACATTTTACAGAGACAAGATGACTACTATAATGTTTGGCTCTCTATTTTTTTTTAACATTAGTTCCAGATAAACACTGTATAACTTTCAATGACCTATTTATTAAACATGGGATTTGAAGAACATGTAAAATACATTTGTTCTTCCCTGTAAAACATTCAGGTGATGAAGAATTTTTCCATTTCTCTGATTTTCTCTTGGAGTGGAGGGTGTGTGACACAAATTTGCTGGCTGACTGAATGGTTGAGGTGTAAATAGGACAACCATAATTATGTGTTATTACACTGATGGCAAACAATGTGATATACACAGACCTTACTGAACGAACCATCCAATAGAGGAACATGGCATTTGGGGAAAATTCTTTTAATTATACATTTGAATATTGGTCTTTGGGTCCTTTGAGGGACAGTGGCTGGTGGCAGGAAGGTCCACAGTGACATGTATCCTCCTGGCTTGATTCTTGGCCTTCTGCAGCCTCTGGTGCCATCCAGAGGGCTCTCTGGAAGCCTCAGAGCAGAGGTCCAAGAGGCCTCATCAACAGCAACCACTGGAGACTCCAGAAGATGCTACAGGAATTGCTTCCCGTTAGAGATGCCACCTGCTTTCCAACAAAGTAGAGAAAGCCTTCCTTCAATCAAAAAATAAAGAGGTATTTTTGTTTCTCCACAGTCTGGTCTTCTTGTGAGTCAGATGCTCCAGTCTCTTTGGTTCACTGGCAGTTCAAGTGACAGGTGAGTCAAAGCACGGAGACTACTGCAGAAACATTTGCTCCTGGCTTCTGTGGCTTGTATTACAGGAAGAGAAGGGGTGGGGCAGGAAGGGGTGGTAGGTTGAGAATTTGAGATTGTACCACAATCCCAAACTCAGGAAACAGGGTTGGTCCAGAGCTGGTCCAACAGGCTGGTCCAGAGCTAATCTAAGATAATTCCATGTCTTTGATTCACAGGTGTTTATGGAAAACTGCAGCAAATGCATTATAGTTAAGTCAAGTCTAGCAGGAAACTTGATGTTCACAACAGGATCATATGGAGCTGAATGAGGTGACCAGGAAAAGGACAGGTCTCTGAAAATGAGACCAAAGAAATTTAAATAATTATCATTTCCTTAAAAAAAAAAAGGAAAGAAAAAAATTGCTCATCATATCTACCCCCTGAGACTCAGCATAATCTTTTCTTTCTAGATTTTGAATATTCTGCCATTCAGGTTTTTTGTAGGACACTCAGCTACCCACTGAATTTTTTGGGAGAGGGATAGCATCAGATTATTTTTGTTTTTTCCAGCAGGTAGCATAGGGAATTGACTCCATAACAGTTCGAAAACATTTTTCAGCAGTCTTGACTTCTGCTTTGCAGGAAAGGTCACATCATCACCACCTAGCAGCCAATAATGGAAATGTCACACATCCTGAAATAAGTTATGTCTTGTTAGGACATTTCTGTCCTGGAGGAAATGGAAATCCTTCTGTGAACTCTATTGTCATTCCGTTGTCATACCTGTGTCCTACTGCCAACACAATTTCCTTCATGCCTGAACATCTAATACATACTTAAAACGTAATACATGATTACATAAAGAAAAGTTAAGCTTTATAGTCTTCCTTTTTCCCTATTGTTCTATTTCCTTCAAAAATATCTTTATAGGTATGTTACCTTAAGAACTCGGGTCAAATGCAGCATTTGTAAAAACTCCATATGTTCCTAGGTGGCTAAAAACCAGAAACACAAGGGTGACCACCATATACTGCTTAGTTGTCAACAACACAGTCCAACACATAGTATTTCCAGAAACCATAAATTACCATCCACCCCTGGAATTCTGCTTTAGAAAGGAAAGAAAAATAAAGGCCAAAGAAATATTCGATATCCCACTTAACAGCTCTGGGTAATTTACATTGTATTTTGTACCCGCACTAAGTTATTGTTGATGTTTTACCTACTGAATACCTGTTATACCCTCTAAGGTGCTGCAACCTCTTCTAGGTGAGAAGAAGTAGTTACAAAATTCTTGGCATTAACACTTAATAATCTAACGGTAGTTTTCAAAAGGGGCAGTGTGCCCCCTCAGGGTGTTTTTTGATTTTTATAACCATCAAGAGTTCTACTGATACTGAGTAGGTATGGGGCAAGGGTGCTGGATGTCTGTGACAATAGGGTTCATATAAGGATTTCTATTTCCTCCAGGATGGAAATGTCTTTAAAAGATATCCAGCACCCCTGCCTCCTGCCCACTCAACGTCAGTAGAGCTCTTGTTCGTTGCAAAAATCAAAAGAAATACCCTTGGAGGCATACTGTCCCTTTTTGAAAACTCTTGCTAGATTATAAACAGCAGGGGGTACAGGACACAAAAGAATTGTCCAACACCCCACATAACTTTGGAATATCTGCTCAATATTCATACAGGTTAAAAATCTCTGAGCCTGGAACGCAAGCGCTTTACATGTAAATATTAAGCATTTTTTGCATCTTTAAAAAGTGTAATTGCCATATGAATCAAGGGACAATTATCACAGGTTTTAGGACTCTTTACCAGAGTTGTTCACCATTTTGAAAAATTAGATTAGTGTTGGCCACAGCTCTAATGCTCTTTGAGTCACTAATACAACATTCCCCTATCAGTCCACCTGCATGGCTGCTGCTTTCCTAGTGATTCTGCTGGAAGGTGCATGTTTCTGATGACCTCATTGCATCTGCTGGTACAGCGCCTAAGTTTTTGCATCGTGTTTTTATTATAAATTACTTTTCGTTTTATTTCTACTTTATGTTATAATGAGAATATTTGTTATCTGTGTATTTTACTTCAGAATAGAAAAGAAGACATTTTAAAAGACATTGTAAAAAGGAGGCAGGCATTGCATGTAATCATTCTGACATATTACAGTGAATTATAAAGTCAAGCTAGCAAAATTTACTCAATCATAAAACATTTCTACCTTACCTGTGAGGATTCAAGGGGCATTTCCCATCATCTAAAATAAGCGAGAAGATAAGAATGATTGATTTTAAAAAAAAAAAAAAACAAGATGAAAGAGAGGGTCATTAAGGATAGAAATTATTGGGGAAAACCAGTAGACTGATTTTCAGGTCGGCTCATTAAAAGGGGAATATTGGGAACAGTCTCTCCCTGAAAGGTAGAAAGTGTTTTAGGCTAAATTGAACATTTGACAATATTTAACTCCAGAGTCCTCTCACTTTCTTCCTCCTTCCTTTCAGTATATACATAACTCAATTTCTTTTCAGGGCATCTGTGTCACTTGCCCTCAGCCCTTAGCTGGGCAAGCTAATCACATACGTAAATCCAAATCAACAGAACAGTGGATGTTTTTCCTCCCAGGTAGCATATTTTTATCCAAATGACAGACTCTCATAGTTGAATTTTCAGCTATGGCTGCAGCATTTTCCTCTTATTTGGCCATAGAAAACTTGAAAGCCTAAAATCAAATTGGGAGAAGCCCAGGAAAAAAAGCTCCCATCCCCAACAAATGAATGTATTTATTATTAAAAATATTGGAACATGGGTAGCTATTTGTCCTTCCGCACTGTTACAGGGTCCCCTGGAAATGTCTCAAAGTCAAAGAAAGGACTTGGGGGAAACATGAAGATTAGAGTGATTCCTACATGATCATAGAGATTAAGGTCTAGGAGCTCTTGCCTCTGCCTTCTGGGTTCTGGGTTTGGTTGAGCAAGCACACATTTTGCATGGAGGGATTCACTGTAGCTCTCAGTATATCTCTTTGGTATTGAAGCAGAGTATTGACCTTTGTCTATTGTCTTGGCCACTCACAGGAGAATATATGAAGATTTGGAAAAACAGCCTCAATGTTTTGGTAGCATTGTAAATGGAGAAAGAATAAGAGTAGGGAACACGTGGTTTTGCCTCTGAGCAGTTAAGAATAGGTGTTGAGACCTATGTCAATAATAGAGAAATTCAATGAGAACTCTTTCAGATTTTTTCACATAGCCGCTTTCAATTACCTTGATTTGAGCACTAATGGTCTCTCTGATGCCCCTAGTTACTTTCTATGAGGAGTGATGAAGAAGAGCCCCATTAGGTTATAAACAAAACTTTATGAACTTATACGCAGGCTAAGTGGAGAAGATTGAGAAAGGATGTTTTAAACCTTAAGAGATGGGATGTTCCCATCTTTAATTCCTAGACTAAAGTTATTTTTCTGATGAACAATCTGATGAACACAGTTTCCCTTACAGAGAGTTTTCATCTATTTGGTCTTCTCTGTTTAAATCCTGCATCAACTTTACAAGTTTTCAGGAGAAAAAGTAAATCTCTTCGCTTATCACACCAGGTCACCAACACAGGGGCAGCTTCTTCTGCCCCTAACTTCATCTCCTGCCTCCTCCATAATCCCCTTTTGATTCAGATGCACTTAACTGTGAAACATACCATCTTCTCAATGATTTCACACTTTCATGTCTTTCTACATGCCATTTTCTCTAATGGAACTCTATTTCCATTTTCCCCTGGGCTAAATGCCACTCATTCTTCAAAGTTAAGCTTGAAAAAGGCTTTCTCACCTGACAGTCTGGTTAAGGCATCCCTAGTCTATGTTCTAATAATACCTAGGTTGTATTTGTGTCCTAACACACTTACCACACTTCACTACCAGCATTGATTTCACCTGTCTCCCCTCCTGGATTATTCCTTCCTTAATATCAGAAACCATCATTATGAGTCTCACACTCTAACAGAGATGATTAATAAATGACTGCTACATGAAGAAATGAGTGAAGTAAGGAAGCATAACACCTTTCTAATTAGTTTTAGTGATAGCCTAGGGTACTTAGACCAGAGGCCCCAAATGCCAAACTGCAAAGTAACCTCATTTGAATTTTGGGAGAGGGCTTTTGAAAAATTCAGATTTCTGCAGCCACTCCCAAGTCTCCCCATAGAAGGATCTATATTTTTATGAAGTTCCCTAGGTGATTCTAATGGACAGTCAGTTCTCAAGATCACTTATCTTGGCTTTTTTTTTCTTTTAATGCAAATATTTTCCAACATGAACTACTGAAGTTGTGGTTCTACTTCCCCGCCCTAAATTATGTGAAAGAAAAAAGCAAAGAGAAGACTCTTTCCTATTTACCTTTTTGTCTGAAACGCTTTCTTAGCAAAGCCAGGAGCGTCCCACCCATTATCAGACCTGTTGTAGAAGCCACCGCTCCACCAAAGTAAGTCAGGGCTTCCTGAATAGTCAGTGGTCCTGCTGCAAAACAAACACACACACGCAAGACATAAGAAGCGTATTATGCAAACGAATAATCTTTCTCTGTCAGAAAGTTTCCGAGAACTCTAAGATGTGAGATCACGTAGGATCACCAAAGGTCCTGGCAATGCTGACAAGCTAACATGAAAGAAGATCTGGAATTCATAAATCCACTGCAACAGAATGGGAAGTGGGGCCCTATTTTATTCCAAGGCTTAAATATAAACCGTAATATCCAAAGGAATCAGGGTGAGGACCCAATAAAAGAAATTGTAGACACAAGAAGCCTATACATGTAAGTTTGGGCAAATAAAATAAAAGTGGGGCCTTATTGTATTCCTAAGGCTTAAATATAAACTGTAATTTCCAAGAAAATTAAGGTAAGGACCCAGTAAAATAAACTGTAAACATAAGAAGCCTACACATGTAAGTTTAGGCAAATAAAATAAACTGTGGGTAATTTTTTTTGGCAAAGATTCAGTTATGTAACAAAAGGTAGTGAGGACAAGCCATGAGGGGAAAAAATAGGGGGCTGAAATACAAGCCCAAATAAGTTTTTGCAAACAGATAGAACTTAATTGAGGAAGATCTGCTAGGGTATTTTTAGTGTTAAGTGGTAAGCAAAGGTCTTCTGATATAATAAATTAGAAATCTGCATGAAATAACTCCCAGTTTAAAACATTTTGAAACTTCAAGGTCTGTTAAACAGAGATTATAATGAAGGGAAAGGTTTCACTTCACAAATTGAACACTGAAAAGGAGGGGTGATTACCTACAGTCACTGGACTGAATTTCCACCACTCTATAAGGTAAGGAGATTCTGCCTGATTCATTGTGAAAAACTTATTAAGCAGGGGGAAACCCAGTGATGGAAAGCAAGACCACTATGAGAAAGACACAGAAGAAACACTGATTTTGTTATTTTCCACATCAAAGTGACTTCTTAACCCACATGAAAATTGTACCTTGGCAGGTTGGCACGGTAGTTGACCAGTGGCCATTCTCCTGGCATGCTGTTTGTGCTGAGCCATTAAGTAACTGGCCCTCTAGACAATGGAAAGAGCAGATTGATCCATAACTGAAGTTTCCCCAGAGGTTGGAGCAGTTCATCACTATTGGCTTATTAACATGTAGTTCTGGGCATTTCACAGCTGCAGAAAAGAAAGAATGGAAGAGAAACAACATGTGGATTGGAGGTGAAAGAGAGATTATAGTTTATTTTGTAACCTAACAGTGCCAATAAATGAGGCAGAATGTAAAAGGTCAGAAGGGATATGAGCCACTTCCAATATTCACAGTAGCTCTTCTAACAGCACATACATGAAAATATTCTCCCAAAGGGTGATAGCCAAAGAACCAAGATGGAAAGATGGATACGTAGTAGCATCTGATAAATACCTGCTAATGCATTAATAAATCTTGCCTCCAAATATACTATTTACAAAATTTTAGTTCTTAAAAATACTACTGGTCTAAATGTTATTACTACATTTGCGATCAACTGGCATGTCAGTATATGTTTATTAAAATACTTAATAAGTGTTCAGCATATCTGGACACTGGAAGTTTGAAAGAAGTAGACTGTCATCCTCCTTAAACTACATTTTCAGGGAACTTCAGGTTATTCTTTCTAATTTATGGATAGGAAATTAAAGGTCAGGAAATTAGATTTAATTCAAATAAATGTTATTGATCAGTAGTGACATTTGCAAAGCACTGTGCTATGTTTTTTGGGGGATACAAAAATGAAAGAAACATAGGTCTCAATGCTTTATGTATAGGGTGATAGCTCTTCAGGAAATATCACGTATGGCTTAATTTTTATTTAGGTTCAAATTATTATGAAAGTATGGAATGTTTATATGGTCATGTAATATGCAACTTTTAATTTACTAATTTCTATAGCAGGTTTTACATTTCATATACCTATTTTTCTAACACATCTCGGACATCTGCAAATGTTTCTTCAAGTCTCTGAGTACTTGCTTATTAGCTTTAGTTTGTGACATGAGGAAGGGCAGAAGTGATGTGCCTGTGACACATTACTTTTAATTGGGATTGGTGTGGATTTCATAGGGGAGATGACACTTGGAAGTAGTGGTTGTGGTTGGGTGAGACTTCAACATACAGGCACAATGGCTAGCTTGAGTACTTGCAGGAAGGCAACATTAGAATTGCCTTCTCCTTTTCACCTTACCTCTGCATGTTGGAGTTACTGCTGTCCATTGTCCTGAAGGTCTGCAGCTGAGAATGCGGTCTCCTATGAGTGTGAATCCAGCGTTGCAGCCAAAGTAACAAGTGGTATTAAAACCAAAGGTTCCCGGATGATGCCTACAGTGCATGGTTCCCTGCCCAGGTGTGGTGAGGGCTGGGCATTGCACCCCTGGACTAGGAAGTGATGCTATGCCTGTTGTGAGAAAACATTTCAATTCAGAGAGCTCCCAATTAAAAGAAGTGTAAAGAGTTAAGGCTAATCTGGAATAACTGCTTTTCACTCCCTTCATAACAAGGGAGGTTCTAGCAAGAGCTATTAAGGAAGTTAAGAAAAACTATCAGTGTCAGATATAGAAAACCAGATGAGGAAAATTATTAAAAAGCATCCTTGAGGAGATGATTCTCCTGGCCAAGAGAAGAAAATAGGGGAGTCATTGTTATTGCTATTTTAAAAAGAAGCAAAAAATGGTACAGAAATGTAAGAAATTCAGCAGAAAGCCAAATATACACAGGCCAACTGCCTGCCCAACCCTGCTTTACTGGGAAGTGGTACTGTTCTCTCACTAAAGGTCAATGTGAAAGTTGAAATTTACTGCAATGATTGCTTTCTATCTCAAACTATTTCTTCCATTTGAATGATCCCACCAGCTTTGTCATTAACTTGCCATGTGGCAGGAAGATGATGATTGACCTTTCTGGGCCTCAATTCCTAAATTTGAAAAACTGGACCAGTGACTCTACCCCAGTATTATCTCTGTTTCTCTCAGCAATAAATTAATGGAGACCATTCAGTTCGCTCAACAAAGCTCTTTCAAAAAAAAGAAGCCATGAAACAAAATTCCTGCTTAAGAATCAATGTATCTTTTATTCACAAACATAAAAATATCCTGTCACTCCTTAGACGTTTTAAAATCCTTCAGCTGTTTGCTAAATCCAAATAGTGGTAATATTGTGGAATAAATTTCCAAAAGTAGAACTGTCTCAGTAAGTACATATTATTACCTTTGCAGGCTGGTGGAGTAGCTGACCATCTTCCAGAAGTTGTGCATTTCACATTATTGGGCCCCTCCAGCTTAAAGCCCTTGTTACAAGAGAAATGGCAGGTGGAGCCAACATTGAATTCTCCATGAGTGTCAGAACAATCCAGGCTGCCCTGCTCTGGGGCGAAGAGTTCTGGGCACTTGATGGCTAGAGTATCAAATTAAGAATGTCACAATCTCCAAGTTTATTCAGAAGTTCTGTGTTACACAAAGTTCATTCACTTATATATTCAAAAAATATTTATTGAGCACCTATATTCCAGATGTTCTGCTAGGCAGCAGCATTCCACAACATATACTGTAGGTCATTTGTTGCAAAGGGCAGTGGGAGGATGGTGAGCTTACAGAGAGGAGTATAGGTACAAGTCATGAAGACAAGGAAGTCAAAGATTTAGGCAGCAATACTCAAGAACTTACAGTGTTACCCTGTTTTCTCTACACCCTCTGCTTCAGAGATCTCGTAGCCTGCCGCAGCTCCCACTATCTTATTTGAATGGGTGCAATCCAGGATTGCATTTCCGCCCTTCCTCTTGCCTGAGACTACTTACTCCCATATATCATGCCATCTCCTCAAATTCAACACACCTAAAACTGCAATGATTGCTTTCTGCCTCGAACTATTTCTTCCATTTGAATCTCCTCGCTAATTCTTTTTTGGTTTATTTTGTTATTGTATTTTAATACCACCCATCCAGATAACACAGGAAAGCTCAAAACCTCCTGGTCAAGATAGATTAGTTTCTGGGAATTCCATGAAGTGACTTTGTGTGTTATTGCTTCTGGTTCTTGGCTCACATTCCCCTGAGAATTTTTCCATTTTCATGGGATAAAATCCCACTAATCCTCCAGGATTTAACTCATAACCTCTCTGAAGACTCTGCTGATCACCACAGCCTGAACTCTTCTCCTCTGAATTCTTCAGCTTTTTGTCTGAACTCATGTGCTGCCATGTCACATGTCATATTCTCCCTCTTCTACTGGATGGAAAGTGTCTAAAACCCAAGAATCATTCATCCTTGAGCCTTCCATAATTCCCATCTCAGGATCTCAAGAGGCAGTGCTCAGTAACCACTTGCCAAGTGAATGAATAAATGAAATTAAATTTTATTCACAATTTCCCCCCAAAAGTATTTTTACAAATTATTGCAGTTACATGTTTTCTTAGCATTATTCCTTTCTCCCCCTTAGATTCTCTAACATAAGACTATTATTTATCAGTAAATGTTGGGTTATTGACAAATGAAGTGACTATTCTTTCTTTAAATCTAAGGCTATTCTGAAAACAATACCTTGATCAGATAAGTCTCATTTATTTAGCTAGTTTGATTTTTACAAACCTCTTCAAGACCTATGTGCTCCCTCATGGAAAACCGATGTACAGTATTTGGCTTTTATATACTGGTCCATGTACTTTTCATTGAAAGATTATGGATTCTTATTGCATGAATCCATTCAAATAGCCAAAGTAACATAGTGAATTTCAGTTCAGTACTCTCAAATCATTGAGTAATTAACAACTTCATATCTGACATGTCAAGTCAATTTACTAAACATTTTTGAAACATGTCTATTGATGTAAGTCCTAGACATGAAGTCATCTGTGAACGTTTTCACAAAAATAGTTTTCTCATAATCTCCCAGAATTACAACTTTAAACTGAAGAATATGTATAATGTCAGCTGCAGGAAAGCAGGGACCTTGTCAGTTCTTGAAACACTGTATCCCAGAGAACAGGTCCTGACACACAGGAGGGGTTCTACAAATACTTATGAAATGAATGAATACAGTAATGAATACAATTTAATTTAAATGCATTCTAAAAGGTATTCCTACCTGGTTTGAAAAGAAACAAGAGGAATTACTGTTTTTAAAAATTCACTGAAGGGGGCCCTAGTATAAAATGAGAATTACCACAGCATTAAATTCTTTTGGGGGATAGTGCTTTAGTTTCAGTCTTGTCAGTCATGCTCAGCCAAGGTTACATATCCAGACTTTTGTATTTATAAAAGTCTCTGAGCCCTCTTAGGTAAAAATTAACCTTGACCCTTACATACTAAGAATTTGGCTCTGGATCATGTAAAGAAGCGGTTTTGCCTGTTTGAGGGGCAGCCTAGATGAGTTACATGGAAGCCTAACCCAGATCCGGCATATGGTGGGCACTCAGCAAACATGGGATGAATGACATTTGTGGAGTTATCACGGATGCTACTGGAATGGAGATTAGGGCAGATGCAGAGGAAAAGAGTTATAACCAGGAATGACTTTTGTGCATAACTTTGAGAAGTGGTCATATTCTTGAGCCTACTCTAAAACGTTGGCAAAAAAAAACTCCTGAGTAATTACAAAAATAGAAAACAGATAAGGGCTGCATTTATTGCATGCTTAATGCTCGATTTTCACTGACTACCAAGGCAGTTCTATTACATATGGATATTCATTGGTGTTTTCCTGTAGTCCATCAAGTAGGTATACATGATTGTATCTGAATTCATAAACATATTGATTTATATTATTTCAAATAGATTTAGTAAATTCTCTATTTCCTTTTATTATATCATTTTTCTTGAGTTTGATAGAGTTTTCTCAATAATTTTCTGGAAAGAAGATATAGTATAAATAATAAATGTAACTGAGTTGAGTATTGTAAACTCAAACTTTAGAAATAAAACTAGGGGCCGAGACGGGCGGGTCACGAGGTCAGGAGATCGAGACCATCCTGGCTAACACAGTGAAACCCCGTCTCTACTAAAAAATACAAAAAAACTAGCAGGGCGAGGTGGCAGGCGCCTATAGTCCCAGCTACTCAGAGGCTGAGGCAATCTGGCCACTGCACTCCAGCCTGGGCCACAGAGCAAGACTCCATCTCAAAAAAAAAAAAAAAAAAGAAAGAACTAAAACTAGGAAGCCCCATGGAGTCAGAGAAATGTTGGGGGAATGAAGAAAAAATGGAGATGTCAGCTGGGCCAGAGTTTAGAGGACACCAGTTTACCATATTTTAGGATATGAGTAAGCAGGCACAAGGCAGAAGAGCAGAGTTGAGGTTGGGACTTGGGACCAGGACCCCTCCCCACACAGTGAAAACAGACATTAGGAGTTCAACAGCCAAACATGGTCACCAGAGGGTCCATGACAGACAGTGTGAAGGGATTAGGAATTCAGCAGTCTGTATCATGAAAGTGGTCCAACAGGCAGGGACAGGAGGGATACAGAAACTGTGTACAAGCAATCCGTCATGCATGTGGCATCATCAGAGTTGGTACAAGAACCTCAAGCACTGCTTAGGCTCATGAAAAGGGCTTCAGGTCCTGAAGGGCAAAGGCAGAGGCAAGGCTGAAAAATAATCGACCCTCTGGATCCAAGGGTTTTGCGTCTATGGATTCAACTCATCGTGTATCAAAAACATTCAGAAAAAGATAAATTCTATAAAGTTCCAAAAAGCAAAACTTGAATTTGCCATGTGCTGAGTATGTTGAATCCATGCCGAAGAAGTGATGTGTAGGCTTTGCATCGGGTGTTATAAGTAATCTAGAGATGATTTAAAAGTATAAAGGAGAATGTATGTAGGTTGTATGCAAATATTATGCCATTTTATATAAGTGACTTGAGCTTCTGAGGAGTCTGGTATCTGCAGGGGGTCCTGGAACCAATTCCCCCTGCAGATACTAAGGAACAACGAGGCAGAGGCCACATCCCAGAGGGCCCAGGGAACTGGTGTTCTAACTAAAGTGGAACTCTCTGTAGAACCATCCCCCAAAATGAAATCTCACATTGCACTCTGAAGAGACAGCTTGAGAACTCCACCTGCCACACTGCCTCTGCTTACTTGGAGGCCTCTGAGTCCATCTGATGTATCCTAGAACTCTGCAAAACACTCTGTGAAAATTGGGGTTCTAGGGGGCAGTGTTGAGGGTTAAAAATTAATGGGTTCAGGCATATAGGAAAATAAGAGGAACCATTTGCCTAAATTTAGAGCATAAATTTGGAGAATGAAGTAGAAACACAAGTGCAAAAACCAGGGCTCAAGATCAGGATCAGTCAAGGTTGATAATTCCGAGGGCCATACTGGGTTAAAGCTGCTGTTCATGGTCAGGGTTGGGTCTTGACAGCGAGTGGGGACTGGGCCCACAAGGTGGGAGGCAAAGGCCTCCTCCTGCAGAGAAAAGGGGCTGGAAAGGAGTGAGGGGGAAGCAAGGGCTTTAGAGATTACAGATTTAGCAGCCTTGTTGGTTGCATACGTGATTTAAAATGTGAATGAGATTTTTTAAGGTTTTAAAATATATTCTTTAGCTTTAAAATGTGGGAAAATAGAACTTATGACAAATGTCAATGGAATAAATGAATAAAAGAGTGAGGAATAAATGAATAAGTGAAAAAGCACAAGCCTAAATGCTAACCTCTATGAATGTTCAGGAATAAGGGAACTTGTAGTATATCTTTTTGACAGCAGATGGTAGCATTTTATGTCTTTCACCCTACAGAATTCTTGGCCAGGAAGCTCAAAGATGGTCTTCTCCACTCCTCTCCTTTTGGAATTGAGAAAACGGGAGCCTAAGGGTGTGACAAGACTTTCCTAATGGCATATGACTTGGAGAGAAAGCAATACAAGTCTTTGGAAATTAATCTAGTGCTCATTCCACAGGAAGGAATAAATAATATTTTAGCTGTTTTCACGTAACACTAATAGATTTCTACCAACATATTGTCTCATCTGATCACCAGGCACTGCCATTTCTAAAGTTCATTCAGTGGTTATAGCTGCAATCTGTGGAGTGGAAAAGAGTAAATTCACAAGTGACTTACCCCGGGTTCAGAAGCTCTGCCCTTGGGTGATAGTGTAGGTCAGTGGTCAAAACACTATCCCTATAATCAGACTAGGCCTGGGTTTGCATCCTATTTCCATACTTCTAGCTTTAAGACCTTTGCCAGCTACTTAACCTCTCAAAGCCTCAGTTTCTTCACCTTTAAAATGGGCATAGTAATAACCAACTTAAGGGTTGTTTGTGTGGATTGAATGTGATGATGCTTACGAAATAGGTGGTAGTACATTAAGCAATAATTATTAGCAATTATTGCTGGTCTCATTATTACTAACTCTACACTGAACAATACATTAGAACAATAGTACCTTTTGCAACTAAACAGGAGCTATGAATTAATTAATTCAGTGCACTTCTATTTTAGAACATAAAATATACTAGACACTTTGCCAGCCAGATGTCTCAGGGGAATTAAAGACAGATAAGATCTGGCCCCTGCCTTTGAGAATTCCACTAAATTACCAAAGCTTGTATTTGAGTAAATTTTACTGGTAAATGATCAGCTTCAATTCAACAGATATTTTTCACACACACCCATTATTATTCTGCCTAGCTGCTACAGGGGGTATAAAGATGAAGAAGGCACAGCTCCTGCCTTCAAGAAGCTTATATTCAATATAGAAGTGGAGAGAGGAGGGAAGTGCACACATAGTTATGCTAGGGTTAAATCTCACCCATCCCTGAATAAGGTCTGCGGCTGGGATTTAGTAGTGCTCAGTGGAAGGTGAGTGTAGGAATGAAGAAATGAAGAATGTAGCTGAAGAAGACTCGGTAAGGAAGTAAAACTTTCAGTGACATAACGCTGAGCCTTTTCACTTACTAACAGTGTGACCCTGGACGAGTTATTTAACCTCTTTAACCCTGTGTCTCTTCCTTACCTATAAAATGAGATGATACTGCCTTTCCTCATGTTAGAATTGTGGTAAACAGAAATGCTATAATGACATGAAAGCACTTCCTGAAAGTGTGCAATTTTTTTTTTTTTTTTTTTTTTTGAGACGAGTCTCGCTCTGTCACCAGGCTGGAGTGCAGTGGCGCAATCTCAGCTCACTGCAACCTCCACCTTCCAGGTTCAAGCGATTCTCCTGCCTCAGCCTCCCGAGTAGCTGGGACTACAGGCGCGCACCACCACACCCAGCTAATTTTTGTATTTTTAGTAGAAACGGGATTTCACCATGTTGGCCAGGATGTTCTTGAAACTGTGTAATATTTAACTAAAGCTATTAAAATATTATTTAAAGAGAGGGAGAACTTTTTAATCTAGATTACCATTGTTGTGGAGAGTGTTGTTTGCTTCAGCTCAAGAACACTTTTATATAAATCCCTGATGATTCTCCATTCTCTGATGTCATCTTAAAAGCCATAAGAAAGGAGAGGCCCACAGCCTACCTTCACACGTTGGTGGGGAGTCTGTCCAGCGTCCCGATCGAGTACAATCCAATCTTTCTGGTCCAGACAAAGAAAATCCCTCATCACAGATGAAGTGACAGGTGGATTTATAACTGGAACTTCCAAGAGGCTGGACACAGGTCATTGTTCCATTCTGAGGGCTTAGCAAAGGTGTGCAGGGAATGGCTATCATGGGCATGGCAGAGGAGAAAAGAAGAGATTCGTTTTATAATTCAGCATTTATACTGAATGCTGTAACTCTGTGTGTGTGTGATTAATATACAACAATGGTAGTTGGCTAAAAGTGATTGTTTGAATTTCATGATGCTTTATCACCAGTTAGAGGTTGCGGAGGTGTAAAATGGCCGCAGCTTAGAGTTGATTGATTGACATCCTGAAGTGCTCAATCACAGACAGCTTTAGAGGTGATTTTTACAGGAAGCTGGTGCTCTGTTTGGGAAGATAGTGGTGCAACTCATTTTGGTTGCTTCTAGACAGGAGTGGAAGTGGTTGCTCCCTTGATACCTTCTTCAGAAACACCCCTAATGACCTTTCCAGAAAACAATGACAAGTGAGTAGAAACACAGAAATGGAGGAAAATACTTTCTTCCCCTTTCCCAACTAAGTGGTGGAATCTGGGTCCAAATTTTAGCTCTGTTACTTACTAGCAATCTGTTACTATACAATAACTTTTCTGAGCCTCAGTTGCTTTATCTTCTAAATGGGAAAAAGGATAATCCTTGCCAGTAGCAATCCTTAGTTAAAAACGTTAATTAAATCAGATACAAAAATTACACTTAAAATAAAAGAAAAAATCATGGACATATAATAGGTATACAATGTGACTGGCTTTTTGTAAGTGCTAATTTCTACTTCTTCCCAATAGTCTTGTCCTACAGTGGTCAGCCACAAATAACTCTACTTATTCACTTACAAACAGTTAAATTAGGTCTCATAGTTCTTTGCCAAAGTTTATGCACATAGAGTTTGAGGTGCTAGAGGATGTGCTTGGATTGGAGGTCATGCTCTGTAACTTTTGGTAAGTCACTCAACCTCTCTGAACCTCAGTAGCCTCACCTTTAAGATAGGAAGATAACGTTACATAGCTCCCAGGATTTTTACTAAAATCAACAATGAAAACACTGTATGAAAATTTTTTTTTTCTTTTAACTTTCATTTTAGGTTCAGGGGTACAGGTACATGTGCAAATGTTAATAGCTGTCAAGATGTTCCTCTGCCAGTGATTGAAACAATAAAGCCTAGATTCAATGTGTCAATGTGTTGACATTAAAAAGTGAAGACTAAGTGAACACATGCCTTAGGGTATTTCTCCGTCGCTCGCTATTTGACCTGGTTGAGCAGTGTATGGCTTTATAACAGAGATAGTTGGGGTATGGCTGTCCTAGGGTCATTTTTCAGCCACTGACTTAAACAGCATGAGGTTTCAAGAACACTTTTTATACCTTTCTCTTCCCTTCATTCCTTCCCCTCTCTAGCTACATTCCTTTCAATCTGATCAACTTGTCCAAAGATCTGGTTCTTTTCTTCTACTTGAAAAGTATTTCTGTGGTAAGCGCGTATGTGGGGCTGGAGAGGACACAACTCAACAAGCCTATAAACTGCAAGGACTTATGGGGGAAAGGGTGTGGGTGAGGACGCTGGTACCACAGAGCCCATTTCCAGCTTTTTGTGGCTTTGCCTTCTGACAGCAAGGGTAGATGTGGAGGGGTGGGAGGACATTAAAAAGGGAAATTGTCTGATAAGAATTACAACAGCTAGTGGATTGCACACCGCATGGTACCTTCCTGCTCAGCCCACATTTGGGTATTTCACTTGATGTGCACCCGGCAACAAGAGGAGAAAGTTCAGAGTAAACAAAGAACTAAAAGCAGAAGGGAACTGGAAGGTCACAGGAAGCCGCGGTGAGTGGCAACCTCCTTGCTGTGAAACACCCAGAGGCAGGACAGTATGGAGCAATGAACTGTAATCTGTGCCCTGCACCACCCAGGCTTGCCTGGAAGAGTTTCAGTCACTGTGATCACTGTCCTCAGGGATTCCCAGTTCTTCCCACAACTTCCCAAAGTTGTGTGGACTTTGTGATATGTCCAGACTTCAACATAGTCAGGATGAGCACTTAAGGGGCAAGGTCACAGCCCCACCTTGTTCTCTCCAGACCCAGCACCGAACCCTAAGTCTAGGGGCTTACCATCCTCTCTGGTGCCTGGGGATGAAGGACATTCAATTCTGCTGTTTATTTGTTTGTTCATTTATTCATTCATTCATTCATTTACTGTTGACCTAGCTTAACAGTGGGGTGTGTGTGTGTGTATGTGTACGTGTTTATGCTTTCGTGTGACCTGAAGAGCGAGTGGTTTCCTTTTCATAAAAAATGTGTATCTGCCTGCTTTCACTCAAACGTTGAAAGTATATACAAAGTGAAAGGTATGGCAAATAATGTAGAACTGTCTAGTCTTTTACCCATTTAACTTGATTATTAAAATTGGATATACATCATAAAAATATTAATTGCATAGGGGGAAAAGTAGATGGAGAAAATATTGGAAGTATTCATACCAGAAGCGTAACAGTGTCTATTTTAGGGTAGGAGTATTTAAGAGGATATTTTTTCATTTCTTTATTATATTTCTGCAGATTTTTTATAAATGAAAATCTTGCGTTTAAAAAGCAGCCTTTTCTACAAAAGTTAACTAAGGAGTTGAATACATTGGGGGGAAAAAGATTGGAGAATATAAAAAATATACATCTATCCTTCAATAGCCACAAACATGGATGACTAGAACCGGTTCCAGTTCATACAAGATGTCGCAACACTGACAGAGCACACTGGCTTGTTAAAGAGCAAGTGCAAGTCCGGGCACGGTGGCTCACACCTGTAATCCCAGCACTCTGGGAGGCCGAGGCAGGCGGATCACCTGAGCTCAGGAGTTCAAGACCAGCCTAGCTAACATGGTGAAACCTCATCTCTACCAAAACTACAAAAATTAGCTGGGCATGGTGGCGGGCACCTGTAGTCCCAGCTACTCGGGAGGCTGAGACAGGAGAATTGCTTGAACCAGGAAAGCAGAGGCTGCAGTGGGCCGAGATTGTGCCATTGCACTCCAGCCTGGGTGACAGAGTGAGACTCTGTCTCAAAAAATATATATATATAAAAATATATATACATTATATAAATATATATACATTATATAAATATATATATTTATACATCATATAAATATATATTTATACATCATATAAATATATATTTATACATCATATAAATAATATATACACATTATATAAATATAAAAAATATATACATTATATATTTATACATTGTAGAAATATATATATTTCTAATGTAGAAATATATATATTTATACATTGTAGGAATATATATATTTATACATTGTAGGAATATATATATTTATACATTGTAAAAATATATATACATATATATATCAAGTACAATGCAGATAGAATATTTATACTGAATCCACACATTTCTTTCTTCTGAGAATCCTGTAACCTCCAGTACACAGATTAGTTTTTCTCTTTTTTCTATCACTCTTCACCTATTCTAAGTATATTTCTCCAATTTTATACAGATCTTGGAGTGTTTGCAACTGGGTACTTATAAATTCTACCCCTCTCATTTTACCATTATGCCCTGTGGTCCCTAGAAGTGCCAGACCAGCCTTGGGGCAACCACGCTGAAGCAATTTTTTTCCCACTTGGTCTTCTTTCCAGATACCATTTTTGGCCAGGTAAGAAGAGTTCACCTGGTTTGTGACAGGAGCCTTCAGGTCTGGGCAAAGACCCTGACAAAGAGTTAGCAAGGGCCATGCCCTACTGCCTATGGCCAGACATCCTGACACTTGTGTTATCTGCCTAGCCCCCAGAGGCATTTTCATTTGGGATCCTTGGGTTACAGGACAAGACGATGAGAGTATTTATTAATTTTCCAGTCCATTTCAAGGTGGATCTTACAGTTGTCACCTCTAAAATCCAGCCTTTAAAAATACTGCCTACAATTGATTTCCAAGATGTTAGAAAGAATATATTCTTACCTTGGCATTCTGGAGGAACAGAATTCCAGTTTCCAGTAGCCAAGCACTGTAGCACACTCGCTCCCACCAAGAGTAAGTCTTCATTGCAGGTGAAGCTGCAGACTGACTGGTACCTAAAGGCACCAAAGGGGTGGGAGCAGTTCACCTGAGCCTCATTTGGAACTGGGAGATCCTGGCACTGCAAAGCTAAGGGGTGAGGAAGTAAGGAATAAAGAAAGAGTAATACATATGTACTCATTGATTTTTGAGCCATTAACTCTTTCTAGTGTCAAGAACAGGGATTCCTGAATTGGGCTTAACATAGAAGACAAGAAAAGGTGTCATTTAATTATAATGGCACATGAAGGATTTTAGTAGGAAATGCTAAACCTTTGTTAAGCATCTTGGCAACATGTATCAATAATTTTTAAGCTAAAATGCTTTTGGACCCAAGAATTTATGCTAAGTGTGTAATCACGATGCATACCAAAAAGTCTATTCAGAGATTTTTATGATGACATTATTTGTAAGAGCGGAATATTGAAAACAAACACAAATGCCATTAATTGGGGGTGGAAAATTAATGATGGTGGATCCATGAAAAAAATGTTAAAGGTCACTAAAAATAAAACACTTTAACTTGAAAGATAGGAGAGAAGTCTCAATGTATGATGTTAAATAAAGAAGCAGAATAAAAATTGTAATATACACCGTGATCTCAAAGATGTAAAATAAATAACCATATATGAAGAGAGCACATGTATTCCATGCATTGTCTCTTCTAGTCTTTAAAATGGTAGTAATAATTGTAACTACCTCATAGGGTTAGACTGAGATCATGGAAAGTGCTCAATGAACATTAGCTGCTATTATTAGTAGCAGTGGTAATAGTAGCAGCAGTAGTAATAGATAGTAATAATATCATTAAGGCTTTGCATCACATGCAGACCCTGAGTTCAGGGGTGGTAAACATTCAGAAGGCCTATGAAGGGAGTTACTGAGACCACATCTCTGGATACTTAAGAGAATATCCAACTATCTTTACTTGATTAGACATTTACCTTCCTGGAGACAACAATGGCTTGAATAATCCCTTATGATCCCTTTTAAGTGTGTCAAAGAGCTCACTGTGTCTTTTTCTCCCAGATGACATATACAGTGCATTCCATAACTCAGCCTAGGTCTCAGCATCATGGTGCACAGCCATCTATTCTATTGCCTTCTTATTTTTTTTATTTTTTTGCTTTTCAATTTTTTTATTACAGTAAAATTTACATAGCATGAAATTTACCATTTACCTTGTCACCAACATTAAGTGTACAGCTCAGTGGTATTAAGTACATTCATATTATTGTGCCACCATCACCATTATCCATCTCCAAAACTCTTTTCATCGTCTCAAACTGAAACTCAATATCCATTAAACCACAATTCCCTATTTCCCTCTCCCCCTGAGCCCTTAGCAACCACCATTCTACTTTGTGTCTCTATAACTTTGACCACTCTAAGTTCCTCATATGAGTGGAATCATACAGTATTTGTCCTTTTGTAATGGCTTATTTCACTTAGCATAATGTCTTCAAGGTTCATTCATGTTTGTGGTATATGTCAGAATTTACTTCCTTTTTAAGGTTGAATAATATTCCATTGTAAGTATGTGGAATACTTTTCACTTATCCATTCATCTATTGATGGGCGTTTTCGTTGCTTCCACATTTTAACTGTTGTGATTAATGCTGCTATGAACATGGGTGCACAAACATCTCTTCAAGACCTGCTTTCAAACCATTGCCTCATTTTAAAATCAAGGTATACTTAGACCCAGGGGAGTCACATAAATTGCTCAGATATCTCAGTAAATGAAAACACAAAATGTCAATATTGCACTTTTGGAACATGACTTTAGTGTGAGGTACTCCTCATAAAAAAATAATAATTCTGTGAACCACCCCACCCTCACATGAGTGCCTTAATATAAGAGCAAACTATTAGAAACCTAACATATTGAAAGAGGATCATTTTGTCAAATCAGACCATAGACATATGATTTATAAGGTAACATAACATCATATTCATTTTCCCTATAAATCTTACAAGAGTTTTAAAGTTGCATTTACACACACTAATTCACAACTACTAGTGAGGCAGGTAGGTAAAGCAGATAATAGTAGCCCAATTTTACAGAAGATACTAAGCCTCAGAGTCTAAACCACTAGCTTAAGGACAGGAAGTGACAGGACTGAACTACCCTTCCTCATTCCATGCTATTCCTCATGCATGATTTCTTCCCCCAAGTCCCATCTTCTTCATTCCAATGCACCCTATATGTGTCAATCAGTGCAACCCTCACCTTGATTATACTATAGTGGACATGTTGTGCCTAAGACTGACTTCGCTCACCATTTCATCTCATCTCTGGTCCCAAGCACAAAGGACACGGCACATAGTAGGTTCTCAGTGAATATCTGATAAAGAAAGGCATGCCAGTGCTCAGTGCAGATGCTGATGCCTCGAATGAGCTGAGACACACAGAAAAACGTTACCACTGTTACAGTACCTTGACAGACTGGGGCTGGCGCTGTCCACTGTCCCAAGTTATCACACCGAACTATATCAGCTCCTCTCAGCATGAAACCTTCAGCACAGCGGAAGCTACAGTTGGTATCATACTGAAACGCTCTCAAGGATGGAGAGCAATCCATGCTTCCGTGGACAGGACTCTCCAGCGGCTCACACGAAATAGCTAAGTGGAAAAGATACCTTCTAAAGCCGGGTAATGGAAGGGCTGGGTTCTTCCTCAGAAAAAATTTCTGGATGCTACATCTTTCCTGTCCACATTTTCGGTATGTTCAGAACCCTAAAACCTCCATTTTCCAAAAGAGAGACTGCCTGGAACACCTTCCCATGCTCCTCTTTGCCTGACTCACTCTCACCTGCCCTTCAGGTCTCGGCTTAGACTTCCCTTTCCTTAGGAAGGCCTCCCTTCCCACCTTAACCAAGGGTAGGAGCCCCTGCAATGTGCTCCCACAGCCTCTGTTCTTGTGCTGTTCATACATGATTGTCATTCTTCCCCATCATACCATGGTCTCCTCGAGGTTGGGCTCAGTCATTCGTAGGTTTATTCTGGAGCTGAGCAGAGTGTTTTGTATATTGAAAGTGCTCATTAAATATTGACATTATCTGTGAAATTGAATCTGAAAAGAGTATATAGAGGAAAACGCTGGACTTGTAGGAAAAAGCTGGACTAGCATAGCTTATTGTTGACACTGTTACCTAGTCCTATGAAATGATCGCGACCGGACTTTGTCTCTAGAACACAGGATGTCATCGTAATCAGACTTCAGTTGCCAAGCGAGTGCAGCCAAAGTGAATTCCTGAGCACAATTAAGCCCTGAGTGACCTCAGTTCTGATAAAGATTGGTTTCCTCATGCTCCTCCTTGATAAAGCATTTTATCTCCAGGCTATTCTTGAGGCTTTTCAAAGTGTAAAGACCACCTCTTTGCTCTGGGCTTTGACCTCTGGTTTTTACAGAATCAGAACATTTAAGAACGAAAAATCTGGCTGGGCACAATGGCTCATGTCTGTAATCCCAGCACTTTGAGAGGCTGATGTGAGTGAATCACTTGAGGTCAGGAGTTTGAGACCAACCTGGCCAACATGGTGTAACCCTAGTCTCTATTAAAAATACAAAAATTTGCCTGTAATCCTAGCTACTTGGGAGGCTGAGGCAGGAGAATCGCTTGAACCTGGGAGGCAGAGGTTGCAGTGAGCTGAGATCATGCCACTGCACTCCAGCCTGGGCAACAGAGAGATTCTGTCTCAAAAAAACAAAAACAAAAACAAAAACAAAAACAAAACTCTAGTGCTTCTCTCTTCTCTCTTACCTTATAGGAAAGAAAAGTGAGGTTCAGAAGTGTTAAGTGCTAGGTAGTAGCAGGGTTGGGCTTGTAATCTAGGTCTGGGAATTCACTAATCCATCATAAATTTCCTATTCTCCCATTACCACTGTCCGCCTTATAAACTGAGGGTGTGAGGCAATTGCACAGAATTGTTTGGTGGAATTGTGTAATTGCCTGGGATTGCATCACACACTCTTTTTCCATGCAATTTTCCTTCCTTTGCTTCTTTGTCAAAAGCTACCTTCAAAGACTACATAGGGAATCACTCTCTTTAGCCAACTTAGCCACTGCTCCCAACTCCCTCTCAAGTATAGGACATGGTCCTATACCTCAGATATATCAGTAGAGCAGAAGCTCTATGCTAAGTACTTTATACATGCTATTTAATTGTATACTTTTAATTGTATACTATTTAATTGTACTTAATCCTCACAAGCACCTTGCAATTCTCAGCTCCATTTCACAGATGAGAAAACCGTGGTTCCTGGAGGTTGAAGAGCTTGCTCCAGTGCAAGAACTTAGAAGAGATCACCCTGACACTAAGAGCCCTTGGCCTCTCTACCATGCCATGATTCCTTCTTGGACAGAATGGAGGTTGCTAATGAAAAATCCTACCCTCACAGGTTGGCAAGGGTGCAGACCAGTGTCCAGAGCCAATGCAACGGAGCGTGTCCAAGCCCCTCACTCTGTAGCCGAGCTGGCACTCAAATTTACAGTTGGAGCCATATGCAAAAGCAGCGAGTGGATGAATACAGTCCATGGTTCCTTTGCTGGGGGCTTCCAGGTGCTGACACTGCACAGCTGGAGATAATAACCAAGGATAAAGAGAAAGGTACTGAGAAAGGAGAAAAGGCACAGATAGAGAGCAATAGTGGAACCACCTCTGAAATGGAGGTGGAGCTAGCAAGATGTGAAGGTCAAGAGACCCTAATGATCTTTGTCCAGACTTGGATTACCGGTTCCCAGGGTGACCTGCGTCTGTTAAAAACAAAGATTCCTCCAAGCTGTATTCTTAATGTCCTCTATTCCCTATACTTCTATCAACCTGTCTCAGTAGGTCTTCTAGTGTCCACTTACAGATGTAGAGGCCACCCTTTCTGATCTTATGTGGAAACTGTGAATCAGGCCATTCTGAAACTGCCTGTGGTTGTGAGTTTGGGGAAAGAAAGGAATTTTTTTTTGCTTTCTCATCTCAGATGAACCCAATCTAGCTGAATGGCAGGTAGGAAGAGAATTAAATTTTGGCAATTCAGGCCAGCTTCTCCATAAGCTGGTCAGTTTCATCTATGCACTAAGTGAGGACTGGGTGCAATGGACATTATACATCCCAACTACCTGAAACTCACCTTTACACACTGGGGCTGGGGCTGTCCATACCCCCGAGGCTGTGCATTGCACCACTTCTGGTCCAACTAATGCAAATCCCTCTTCACAACTGAAGCCGCAGCTAGACTGATGCTGGAATGCTTTTGCAGAATGAAGGCAGGTCATGTTTCCTCTTTCAGGAATCTTCAGGGGTGGGCACTGGGCAGCTAAAAACAACCACAGAATAATAGGGTGGATCCTTGGACAAATTTTGTCCATCACCTTGGAAGCCTTCAAATTCTGCAGCAGTCACACCTTCCCAAAGTGGCAGGCAGGGTGATGCACTAGAATGGTTCAATGGTATTTTCAATAGCTGTTTGGAAAGATCTAAACACCCTTGTTTTTCATGTAGAGAAGTTAGGTAAAATTATCAAATTAATAATACTTAACCCCTAAGTCCTCGTCATTGTACTCTGTTTACTTTAAAATTAACAAAGGGAAAGGGGAGGGGTCCTTTTGTAATGTTTTGGCCTAAGAATCAACAATTAAACTGACTAAGTCACTCTACCTGTAAAAAAATACCATGAAAATCGAAATTAATGTTACTCGGGTTGACAGTTAACAGTGATAACCAGAATTTTCCATCTAACATAGATGGTCATTATAGCTCGCATTTTTTAATGAAGAAAGCTCATTCCATCCTCTTCTCCCCAAAAATTCTATGTCAGTGAGGATGAAAAGAATAAGGTCTACATACCTAAACACTGCGGAGGCTTATGTGTCCAGATTCCAGAAGCCAAGCATTCCAGCTTGCTGGGCCCATTTACTTGGTACCCGTCAGCACAGTGGAAGCTGCACTGCGAGTTAAAAGAGAAGTTTCCCAGAGGGTGGCTGCAGTTCATAAGCACGTGTTGAGGGAGCTCAAGTTCTCCACACTCTGTCACTGCAGGAGACAAAATAGTGATTTTTATTTTCCATGTAGAATTAACAGCAATGTCAGGTTTGCTGAAAGCTGTAACTACTTATGTAACCCTCAACGCTAATTTTTTAAACTTCTAACCCAAGCTATCCATCTCTATTTGGTCCCTTTATGTTGGCTGCGTCTTGGGAAATAGTCATTCTTTCACAAGTTTTTACTTCAAACAAGTAAAATTAGCTTCAAAGTGTTCTGTTGGTTTTGCTTCCTTTCCCTTTCCCTTTTCTTTTTTGAGATGTATGAGTCAATGTTTTCTCCCAAGAATAAAATGTTTTTACCTAGAGTGTATGTCTAGGGACACTGAGTGGAGAAGACAGATGATAGAGGGGGGTTAGTACCATCCTATTCTCACTGGAGAGCCTTCAACATGGTTTATTTACTTCTTGGCATCATCTCTAGCATAAAACCAAAATAATATCAACAAAATAGAAGCCTCACCATATTCACATTCTGGCCCATAGAATCCAGGGTAACAGGAGCAGGTGTAGTTCCCGATGGTCTCGAGGCACTCTCCTTGTTTGCTGCAGGACATGTCCTGGCAGGAGGCTGCATAGATATGGAAAGGTCAGAGTCATGAACATTCACCGATGAGAGGAAAGGCTGAATTCTCATTTTGACCATAGACTCATCCCCTCTCAGGTAGGACTGAGCTAGCCAGACAAGAGAGAACCACAGTATCTTCTAGAGAGCCAACATGTTCCCTGTGAAAAGCATTGTAGGGGTCTGCTGGAGTATTGCATGGCTCCCATTTCATACTGGCATTTAGTGTTTCCTAAGGAGGGTACTGCTGTGTGTGGACACAGAGGGACAAATGGAGCCACTGACAGATGTGTGGACAGAGAAACTCTATGTGGTACAAAATGGGTTGTGGTTTTCAAACCAAGTATTGTTTTATTATGGAAGCCCCAATGTCACATATTACAGCATTGAGGTTAGGCACCAGATGTGGGGCGTGGGGTCACACAAGTATGATATGAATCCTGGCTCTGCTGCCTACTTGCTGTGTGACCTTAGGCAAGTTACTTCTCTGAGCTCAGCTTGCCCAGGGTTAGGGCCCAGACCCTTTCATCTTTCATTTGCTTCAAATCTATGTCCAGAATCCTACAGTGGAGAAACAGAGGAGCCAAATGAGATATTTAAGACCTACTCATGGTAAACGACAATCTTATGAGGTGATGTTTCATGAGTCTAAATATAGCAGGCCAAGATAGTGCTGACTATGGCTGACCTGCCATGTCCTCCTCACCAAGACAGTGCCACTCAGGTGACAGAATAGAGCAGGGCCAGAGTTTCTTTCCTGCAAGAAAGTATTTGAGGGTATGTGCACTTGATGAGAATTAGTATTAGAATTGATACTTTGAAAGCACTGAGAATGTTTTTATTAATGAGGTCATATTTGGGGCAAGGTCTGTGGCTGAACTGTTTTCTGGTGATTATTTCCTCTGCCTTAAGCCCTGTCCACATGCTGGTTCACTTGGAAGTATATTACAAAAGGATATCCACATGTCATATGTGGATATGCTGTGCTACATGATCTCTATGTTTCCTCTCAATTCTGAGATACTAAAATTCTATAAACCAAGCAAGGTTCTGTAGGAAGAAGTTCCTATGGCAGTCAGTGAATTTGGTGAAGCTGCACTGAGACACTGGGAAGGGTTCAAATAAAGAGAATATGTAGGAGGTAATAGCAGCTAAATAGATACAGGTTTGGTCCACATCGTATTCACCTTGCTCCCTGACCTTAACCCCACCAATGTCTTAATGCCTTACAGTAGCAACCCTTGCCTGCCCTGTGTTCTTGGAGCATACAAATGTTTCCCCAATTATAGCTTCCTTGGGATCTCAGAACTCCAGGGGAAAAAAGAGACAATGCTCTGTATTCTATCCCATTTCAGAGTTTCCTGAATAGACAGGTTAGCAATTTGTCTATTCCTTTGGATCTCCAGGGAGAAGAAGATTTATTCATGATGATTCAATGAATAAATCTTTTTTTGATAGCATGCTTTGAGGTCTAATAATTACTGACATGTAGAGAATTATTCCAACAATCAAACTTAATTTCATATTACAGTATATGTATTTCTCATCTCCCACGGATAACTGATGCTTCTCTGCATCCTTTACATCTTAGATGGCAAAATGGCATCAATGGGAGTGGCTGCTTAGAGTACTGTGTAGGTGGACATAAAACCCATCTGTGTCAGGTAAAGTTGTACTAATTAGTGATGTCTACCACTGTTGCGAGTTAGAGGAGTGGCATCATTTATGCCAGTAATTTTCAATCTTGTTTCTATCTTGCAATTTTTTTGGTAAGCTTTATTGAGGAAGACTGTCTTGCAGAAATGGATCTTGAAGGCTGGGTGAGAAGCGGAAGTAGTGGCATATTGAAACAGCTAGTGGAAGTCTAGGTTATCTGATAAGAGATAATTCTAGGGAGGCATAGCCCGGAAAGGGGTAGAGAGCTGACTGGGAGAGCAGTAGGATGAGCTAATATCCTGGTAATGTCCATCCTGATCCATGAATATATGGTCATTAATCAATGTATTTATACATAAATGCACTGTTTATAAAGTAGATCTGATTATATGATAATGCATTCATGGATATGTTTTGCCTCCACTAGGAGGCTTGGGGAGAAGACGGACAATGTAGAAGGTTTTCTTTATTCTATGTATTCTGTTCCATACATGTACTGTTGAGGGCTTCTGAGGGAGAGGTGTTTAAAATCTAAAGAATTCAGAATATGTATGGCAGATGATTTATCGAAGAAGCTTCAGAGTACTTAGAACCTTCCTGCTCAGGGCAGTCCACACCATCCTTGGGCACAGTGTTCATGTGCTACAAAGGACAGAACCGGCCCCTCTAGACAGGGAAGCAACGTCAGAAAGAAGGACTCAGCTCTGACACTAGGCTCATGACTACAGGAAGACCAAGCTTTCAGGAATGTCTGCTTACTCTGGTAGTGGGAAAGTTGACAATTAAAATACACTCGAAGTATTTCACCTTCAATTATTTCTTTCCTGCCCACTCCCCAGCACTACCCTCCCACCGAAGTTCAATGGATCTAAAGGTATGTTGTTGTTGAAGAGAAACTGTAAAGCATTTATAATCCTTGGTTATATTCTCAAATTGTTTCATAAAAATGTAGAGCAAAGAATGTGGTAGTTTATATGGCTAAAAAACACCAACTTTGGAATCAGCATGAGTGTGAAACTGGCTCCACCATCAAGTAGCTTAGAAACTTGGGCAGATTACTTAATAGCTCTGAGCCTTTCCCTCATCAGCAAAGTAAGAGTAATAGAAAAATGATTGATGGAGTTGTCATGAGGACTAAATGTGACTAATATTAAATGAACAAATGACACATGAACTAAATAAACTAATAACACAATGCCTAAAGCATACTGACATTCAGTAGGCATTAGTTACAGCTGTGTCACCTAGGGGCTGGGCTAAATTCCCTTCCAATTTATACTCTCTCTTATACCAGGCACAGGGGTAAACAAAAGCTCTAGACCTAAAATTTGGGAGACTGGTTTCAGGTCCTCACTTTGCTTCTGTCCTGCTCCATGGCCTTGAGAAACTAAAACCTCATGAGTGTCCTTTTTATCAGTTATAAGATGAGACAGGTGAGCTGGATGATACTAAAATTTCCCTCTAGTTTTAAGCAGCCAGTTTTCTCTAATTCTGATCTTATATTCTTCAAGGTGCTCAATCATCTGACTGACTAACAGTTCACTCCTTGATTTCATGCCCTGCCTTTGTACCTTTGTGTTGACTCAGTGATTACTTTGGCCAACCGGAGAAGGCAGGTTTTTTAAACAGAAAAGTTTCAAAGTAGAGAAGGCCCTACCTGTGTAACACAATGCGTGCTTTTTCTTCAAGCAGTGCTCATCATTCCACTTGCCAGGGGCTGACGGACTCTTGATGTAGATCTCCACGCAGTCCTCGTTGTTCCTTTTGTTGTTAGGTTCATTATCAGCCCAGTTCTCAGCCTCTTTAGTGAGAGCCTTTTTGGTTCCCACCCAGGTCCATGTCTTATTGCTCTTTCGGATCCCAATCCAGTAGTAGGTGCTGTAGTAGGGTAGGACCTCATTGAGGTAATCAATTTCCTTTTTATTCTGGATGGCCACTAAGTCTGTGTAGCGATTCTGGCAGTATTTGCGGGAAGTATTCCATGAGTATGCTTTTGTGCTGTAATGATAAGTCCATGCTGCCACTTCTTTCTGGTTTGTTAGTTCTAGAGTAAAGGAGAGTGTGTGCCAGGTTAGCAACCCTCACCAAAAAGAAGCTGTGACCCCAAGTATGCCGCTGCATAGTCAGATGTGTTTCTGACCAGAACATGAATACCCAAAACATGACTAGTTTATGTCTAATGTAGTTGTTTGAAGGAAAAAGAGTGGTTTCCACCTTTTGCTTAAAAGTGTGAATGAAGTCAGAATAGGAAAATGTCATCTTCTGAGGATCCTTGATGTTAAAGATTTGGAATCATAAGATATCAAAGTTGGGAGGGACCCTGGAAGTCATCTAATTTACTCCTGTCCTTTTATAAAAGAAGGAGACGTAAGTAATTTGCCCAAGCTCAGATCAAATGACACAAAAATGTCTTAAAGGCAGGCTCTACCTCTTCACGTGGAAAATAACATGCTTTATGACCTGGAGCCTACCAGCTGGTCCAGACTCATTGCCCACCATATTTACTTTCTCAGAAAAACAGAATTCCTACTTCCTTGAATTTGCACATGTTCTCCCCACTATCCTGGCTGTTCTCTCTTCTTATGTCTGGTAAACTTTACTCCCCCTACTCTCCATGGCTTTCCCAGATGGACTCTGTGTTCCTTCCTCCAGGCTCCCACAGCACCTCATCCCTGCCTCCATTGCCCTCATTGCCATGTATGGTAATGTCTGTTTCTTTGATACAGCCTACATCTGCCAGGTTATAAATCTCCAATGGTGTTTTGTTTTTAGCTTTGGATCCTTAGCACTGAGCCTAGAGTTTAGCACTTAACAGGCCTTCAATAAATACGTGTTGAATGAGTGAAACACAGTAGGTTTGTGGCAGAGCCTGGGTAGGAAATCAGATATCCTGATCTGCAGTCTTATAGTCGTTCCATTCTTCTTGGCTGTTTCTCTTTTATTAACTACTCTACTTCCTCCATGTCTGCATACTCACTTATTAACATAGGGCTCAAAACAGCCCTTTTTCACAAGTGTTTTTGATACCAAATGAAATAAAGAATGTGCCTTTCAAAAGTATAAAGGTACTACAGCACTGTTACCATAGCCTGTGGGAGTCCACCCGGGGCAGGAGAGGCCAGTTCCCGCATGAAGAGGTGTACAAAGCAAGCAATCAGACCTGGAAATGGGTTTGTTTCCTGTTTATTTAGAGGCTTGTTTCTATCCAACCCTCTTCTCTGCTGCCTGCATGAGGGTTAGTCATGCTTGTACCTCCCTTGCTGACATTTCCAGGACATTGTTTTGCCTTAAAAACTTCATTCTAATATAGCCAGGGCTGCATTATGACTTTCATAGACTTTAGGCAACTTTGCCTATGTAGGCTTCTTTCTTCATGCTAACATATTGAAAATTCTATTTTGCAACTGCACTGATACAAAGATGAATATATCACTATATATTAAAACATTTTCTTTGACTTCAAATAAAATAATTCTAAAAGACATTCAAACATATTTGTGGGTCTCTAAAAATTGTGTGGGTCTGTGTCTACTATGCCTAATGGAGAAATTGGTCCTGGATATATCATTTTAAGTTCTTTGCTGTGCCCTTTCTACCAATCTGATGGTGTTGGATACATTTGTCTTCCAGCAATCGGCACCTGGACAGTTTTCCCATGCCTCAAATCAACTGGCTACAATCCGTAAAGTTCTCACACATAGCTCTGGGCTCTACCGTAATTACTTGGGGCTAAGGAAAAAGTTAGCATCAAGTTTACCAGAGATCAGGGCACTGAAGCAAAGGAGTCGGGCAATTCCAAAGACCACTCTCCGGAATCTCTGATACAAGATGGCTTTTTGGCAGCTGGCCTGAAACAAGAAGAGAAAACTTTCTTTTAGTATCCATACACCACCAACATGGCCAAAAATAATTCTAGTTAACAATCATTATGTTGAAGTATAATTGTGCCAATTTCCATTGAAGAGTGGTTCAAGCCTTCTGCTTCCTTCTTGCTTCGCATTGCCCTGCTTCTAAGTTCTACCCTGGATGGACACTGTAGCAAGGCTGGGGACAGAGTTCATTTCTTCATTCATTCAACAAATATTTATTGAGTAGCTTGTGCCACCAATATTTGTATTTTAAGATACATTTTCAATGTGTATGGAAGAAAGCTAAACACATTAATATGGCTGTAATTATAATAAAAAACATTATTATAGAAGTCACATGAGAACTTCCTGACCCACACAAATAATGTCTAACCTATACTTTGAGGTCCAGAGCATCAACTAATTGTGTTATGCTATGCCATCTATTTTGTATTATTGATCTTTGTTTTATCTTCTTGCTTTTTTATTTCTGCACACATCTACAATACTATTCAATGTTTAATATACATATGTATGTATATATTTAATATTTCTTAATATATGCAGTAAACTTATTCCCCTTGGATCTATAGCAACTATTATTTCTCATGAACTCTCTTCTGTTGGGCTTTCCTCAAATCTATGAATATTTTTAAAATGTTTTTGGGGCCGGACGCAGTGGCTCATGCCTGTAATCCCAGCACTTTGGGAGGCTGAGGTGGGTGGATCATGAGGTTAGGAGTTCAAGACCAGCCTGGCCAACATAGTGAAACCCTGTCTCTACTAAAAGTACATTTTTTAAAAATTAGCCAGATGTGGTGGTGGGTGCCTGTATTCCCAGCTACTCAGGAGGTGGAGGCAGGAGAATCACTTGAACTGGGGAAGAGGAGGTTGCAGTGAGTGGAGATCACACCACTGCACTCTACCCTGGGCGACAGTGTGAGTCTCCTTCTCAAAAAAAAAAAAAAAAAAAGTGTCTACTGTACCTATTGGATAAATTGGTCCTGGATATATCAACTGAGTTCTAGTGATGCTTATCTTCTCCGACTTCCTCATGTTGCACTTGAAAATACTGAAGCTTGGAGCATCTAAATAACACATTCAGAATGACAGTAGCAGAGCCTGACTTTGAAACAAGAGCTCTTTCCACTCTACTTTTTTTTTTAATTTTTATTTTTACCTTCATTAACCTCCAGGCTTCTAAATCCATGCTGCATTGCTGTTGTGGATGGTAGAGTGTGTGACATGACTAAGCCTAGTTGCTACATTGGTTCCCCTCCAAAGCCACTCCAACATTACCATCGACATAAAAACAGTGCATTTGCTATGCATTTGCAGTTTTGTCACTATCCCAGTCAGACTGCTACCTAAAATCCCTCCTGTAAAAAAATCCCACATTGCCATAGACCACAATTTGGTTTGTGACAATTTGCTGCGGGGTTATGTATGTGTTCGTGTGTCTAGACCCAGTGATAGATGATGTAGTGTGCATGGAATGGTGTGCAGTTGTGTGTGTATTCCTGTGTCACGCCCCAGTGACAGATGATGTAGGGTGCATGGAACAGTGTGGGGTTGTGTGTGTGTGTGTGTGTGTGTCATGCCCAGTGATGGATGGTGTAGGGTGCATAGGACAGTGTAGGGTTGTGTGTGTGTGTGTGTGTGTGTGTGTGTCATGCCACAGTGACAGATGATGTAGGCTGAATGGGACAGTGTGGAGCTGTGTGTGTATGTGTGTGCCATGCCCCAGTGATGGATGATGTAGGCTACATGGGATGGTGTGGGGTTGTATGTGTGTGTGTGTGTGTGTCACGCCCCAGTGATGGATGATGTAGGGTGCATGGGATGGTGTAGGGTTGTATGTGTGCGTGTGTGTGTGTGTGTGTCATGCCCCAGTGATGGATGATGTAGGGTGCATGGGATGGTGTAGGGTTGTATGTGTGCATGTGTGTGTGTGTGTGTCATGCCCCAGTGATGGATGATGTAGGGTGCATGGGATGGTGTGGGGTTGTGTGTGTATGTATGTGTCATGCCATAGTGATGGATGATGTAGGGTGCATGGGATGGTGTAGGGTTGTGTGTGTGTTCATGTGTCATGCCCCAGCGATGGATGATGTAGGATGCATGGGATGGTGTGCAGTTGTGTGTGTGTGTCACACCCCAGTGATGGATGATGTAGGGTGCAAGGGATGGTGTGGAGTTGTGTGTGTGTGTCATGCCCCGGTGATGGATGATTTAGGGTGCATGGGACTGTGTGGGGTTGTGCATGTGCTCGTGTGTCATGTCCTGGTGATGGATGATGTAGGGTACATGCAATGGTGTTGAGTTGTGTGTGTGTGTCACTCCCAGTGATGGGTGATTTAGGGTGCATGGGACATTGTGGGGTTGTGTGTGTGTGTGTGTGTCATGCCCAGTGATGAATGATGTAGGTGCATGGGACAGTGTGGAGTTGTGTGGTGTGTCACGCCCAGTAATGGATGATGTAGGGTGCATAGGACAGTGTGGAGTTGCATATGTGTGTGTATGTGTGTTTGTGTGTGTGTGTGTGTGTGTGTCATGCCCAGTGATGGATGATGTATGGTGCATGGGACAGTGTGGGGTTATATATGTGTGTGTGTGTATGTGTGTGTGTGTGTCATGCCCAGTGGTGGATGATGTATGGTGCATGGGACAGTGTGGGGTTGTGTGTGTGTCATGCCCAGTGATGGATGATGTAGGGTGCATGGGACAGTGTGGGGTCGTGTGTGTGCATATGTTCGTGTACTTTTGACTACAGCCTGACCAGATACCAGGGAGAACTCAATTCAAACCAGTTGATGTGCAGAGAGCAGAGTTATCTCATAAGCCTAGAACTTTTCATCTGGGAGCTGCTGAATCTTTGCTTTGGTAAGTAGGCATATTTTGTGTTCTTATAAACTGCTGATCTCTGCAGGACCTATGATTAAACACTGAGAGTATCATGACGTTATGATTTATGGTGCTGTTTATTTGCACAAAAAGTAGAGTGACAGATAATCCCTTAGTGAGAAACTAACCCCACGGCTTTCTCTGAATTGTGTTGTGTCACAAGCTGTTGTTACGAACACATTTCAAAGTGCACCATTCCAAATGCTGAAGCAGAAATCTTCAAACCAGGATAAGGCTGACTTCCCAAGGGTTTCACAAGCAAAGAGAGTGTTAATTAAATCTATATTCAGATTCTCAACTTTCACATATATACTTTCTTAAAAACAATTTTCCTAAAATACACCTTTCTCCTGCTTTACAAGAGAAATATTATACCTTTTACTAATTTCTTATTTATTCTAGAGCTTTGCCCTTGGATATAAATACATTCGTATGCCAAAGATGATTCAAAATATTGGTATAGGTATTAAGAATTTGAATATTTTAAATGATATTGCAGCAAATCCTTTTTCAAGTATGGTGATTTCCATTTAGTTCCTTTCATCAGCTTTGAGGGAGCACTCAATTAAGTTGTCAGCTTTGACTAAATTTTGATATTAAATCACTATGTAATTTGGGGCATATAACTTGGAAGGACTTCAAGGAATTGAGACATTGCTACAATAAAACTTCTAATTCCATTTACTTATTCATATGAATGAAGTTTCTCAGGTTTAAATCCTTGAAAATGAAATATGGGAATAATATTGATGCTAAACTTGTTGGATTTTGTTGATAAATAATATTCATTTATGGATATATGAACAAATAGGGGAAAGCTTCTCCTCTCTTAGAGACCAATCTTCAATAGTAATTTAAATACAAAGGTTTAAATTACTTGTCAAAACTTGTAGTATATTTACCTTAGTTTATTTAATTGTGTACTAAAAGTAGCTGTCATGCTAACTCAATAGAATAGAAAAACATTTTAACACATAGAGACTTATGGTTGTAGAAAATTAAAATTTTATATTATATTTTTATTTTGCAAAGAAGTACAATAATCAAGAAAATACTTTAAGCTTAAAATGTATTGTCTTAGGCTAAATAATGTAGAAGTGGGATAGAAATAAGTATTCAAGGAGAGAAAAATGAATAACATAAAATTTCTTATTACTAAGAGTCTGCTTGTGGTCTTTTAAGTGATGAGGATTGCAGATCACGCTAGTACTTTATTCCATTGGATAAACTTTAAGAAATTATGTAACAATTTTATTTTTAAAGTCTAATTTTTGTAATACATTGGAAAATCCAATCTTCTTTTGCTTTTAAAATTTGGGATAAAAAATTGTAGCTTTCCACTTAGAAAGGTGTAAGAGGTAACGTAGTGCTCCAGGATATTTTTGGAGGTATAGGAGCAAAAATATTGCTGCTGAAGAGCACAACTCTGCAGGCTTCATGAAGGGACCTAAGTGCTTGTCTCTGAACCTGGGCTCTGCCTCTACTCAGGCAGATTGCAGGACGAGTGCAACGATTTTAAATTTAGTGGTAATCTTCCTGTGGAAGTGGTTTTCTCCCTGAACAGAGTATTTCTAGGGATTTCCCTGGCTTTGGGGCCAGCTCACAAGAGTGTGTGGGGCGAGGGAGTCGGCGAGTCTCCTAGTCTCCCATCACAGTGGTCAACTCTACCCACTGTTTCCTGTTTTGGCTTGTTTGTTTAAACTTTTAAATAAGATGTGGTTTAAACAAAGTTTCCAAAAAGAGATGTTTCCCATTTAACCTGTTTGTTCATTTGTTTACGCTTTTTTAAAGCAAAATTTCGTCAGCAAATTCTGTACCACACGAGACAAAACAGAAAGTGAGAGAGAGCGAGAGAACTTGTTTTAAATATTTTAAAATTTTAGAGGACTGGTACAGTGCTTCCGATAAGGGTGCAACATCTAAGAAAGGAAAATGCAAGTCAGTGTGCATCCCCTGCTTTAATCTGACATAGTTTTCTGTTTCCTTGCATCACCAAATACCAAGATTCACCTCTTATGGTCTCTTGTGGGAGACCATAAAGGTCACTTTCAAGCTAACTTAGCATTTATCTGCTGTTCTGCAGTAAGTCTTCAGAT